GGGCTGTTGTAAGAATCAGACCTTTGTCTGATTTCAAGTTCAATATTATTTCAGGTTCAGTTCAGCCCAATCTCCCCCCCCATTCAGTTTTGAGTTTAGTTGACTGCAGAGGTCCAAGATACATGTACCAATGCACTAATTCATTGGGCTTCCATTCAGCTGCATGCAGGGCAATATGCATTTGTCATCCACTTGATTTTTCCTATGCGAATTTTCAAGAAAGTTTTATTAAGCACCTGCTGCGTGCCAGGCACTGTGCTGATACAGAGAAAGGCCAGAGATAGTTCCTGCTGTCAAGGAGCTAACAATTTAATAAACAAATACTATCTTATTTGATCCTCACAACAAACTTGGAAGGTAGGTGTTATTGTTCTCCTCATTTTACAGTTAAGGAAACCGAGGCAGACAAAGGTTAAATGACTGACCCAGGGTCACCCAGCTAGGAAGCATCTGAAGCTTGATTTGAACTCAGATCATCCTGACTTCAGGCCCAGTTACGTTGCCACATAACTGGGTAGGTAGGTTTTTTTTTTTGAGTGGCCAAAAATGCCACTGAGGAGGCTTTACAACATTCTGGGGCTCAATGAAATCAACACAGTGGGACCCACAAAAAATAGATTCTGGAAAACCTTTCTATTTATAAGGAATCAATTTTCTATATGTATTTTGTGCAGTAACCGTGGTAAACTCCCTTGGAGAATGTGTCTCTGTTGATGCTTGTGATTTTTTAAAAATCTTATTCTCGTTGATGGTTTCCATTTCTGCATCACCTTCACTCTCAAATATATCCTATCCCTCTTGACTCCACAAAGATTAGTTAAAAGAGGGACAAAAGGCATTTAAGCAAAATATCAGCTGTGTCTGACAGTATATGCAAGATTTCATCCCCAGAGTTTGTCCTTTCTGCCAGGGAGGAAGGGAGATGCTTTTTCTCTAGTCTCCTCTGAGGGCCTGTTTAGTCATGATAAACAGTGTTCAGTTTCATGTTTTTGTACTTTCTGTTTACGTTGCTTTAGTCACTGCACGTGCTTTTCCTGGTTCTTTTATGGTCAATATTGATCCTCGAAGGACTGTTGAATGAAGCTACAAAGGAAACTTCAATGACCTCAACGTATGCATGAGGGACATCTTTTTGGAGAACTTTTAAGACTGTTTTGCTCTACTGAGTCAAATGCTCTTTTGTCATCAACCCACAATATTGTTGCAACCAATCAACAATGGAACAGTGGGCCCTTGTATTCTCTGGGCTCCCTAGTCACTTATATGACTGAGTATGTCGTCTGCTGGAGAGAATGGTCTGTAAAAGCGGGCCCTGTTCCCTTCTCATATTTTCATTAAGGATGCTTTTGTTGCTTTGACCACGCTGATAAAGATTTTACAGAGATGCGAAAGTAGATTGTGGATTAATAGTTACTGAGAAGCGGCTTTGGGGGCAGGAAGTATTTTAGAACTACCCGTAATTTTTCCATCTTTTTGTGGTCTTTCTTTCTTGGAGATATTTTAAAAAATCTATTTCTGGCTGCCTTTAAGACTCTGGCGTACCTCCTCTCTCTATATAAGTTGGTCAGGTTTGGCTATTTCCCCTGATTTCGTGTTCTTGAATGGTATTTCTGCTTCTTCATATAGCACACCAGGGTTTGAGATGTTTTGAGTCCAGATATGGGGAGCCGCTGATGAGATTGCTAGGGAAATACTGAGGGGTCCATTCCATGTCACTTATCTTTGTTGTTCTTCTTCCAGTTTCATCTATAAATGTCCTCGGGATAACCCGGTTTAATGGGGTCTCATATTAACTTTTCTGCAGTCTAATTATATCTTCTACTAATTTCAAATGTCTTATGAGACAATATCTCTCATAATATAATTTTATCCTTCAGTGTAAGGTGTTGTAAATGAATGTGTGCTCCAAACCAGGGTGACCTTGGCAGCCACCCCCCCTCCCTTTAGCAGTATTTTTAATTGAGGGGGTCCCTAGGCTTTTTCGGATCCTTCATGTGACTCTGTTAACCATGTCTTATGGTAATGATCAGTCAGTGTCTTTATTTTTATCCATTTCCCGTCTTTCAGAAGAATCAGCAGCTTGTCTAGATAGATTAGGCTAAAGTTGTAATTACATGTAGCGTCTTCCCATCTTTAGCCATTCTTTTAATTTGATACTAATTTTGCCTTTGTGTTAACAAATTAATAGTCTGCACACAGACTACTGATTCTGAAATGACTCCAGTTATCAGTAACTAGTTATTTCCTGTCTGTTAAGATATAATCATTTTTTCTCATCTATAAAATAAGGGGAGTGGCTTAGATGATCCCCAGCTCAAAATCTGTGATCCTATGAAGACCAGTGCACCATGTTACACCAGTAATCTAGTATTTGTTTTAGCTATCTTGTCAGTTGCAATTAAAATACCATGCAAAACCCAATGTGGCTGACACATCAGTGGTCTGGAGTGTCGTCTCTTACGACCGTAGTTGAGATCTTCTGGGACTAGAAGAATAAGGGGAAAAAAAGAGGAGAAAAATTTGCCAGTAGTTTATGGAAAATAAGTTTTCATAATAAAAGTATTGTCCCCTTAAAAAAAGATAGGAGTTTCACTTTTCATGATATTATTTGGTAATCTCCATATCCAAAGTCTTCTGACTGTACAGATGTGAGGCTTCTGAATTGTCCCCTGGACTTTGAGCTCTTTCATTTCTTAATTTTAAATCTTGTCTTCGGGGCAGCTAGGTGGTGCAGTGGATAGAGCACTGGCCTTGGAGGCAGGAGGACCTGAGTTCAAATGCGGCCTCAGACACATAACACTCACTAGCTGTGTGACCTTGGGCAAGTCACTTAACCCCAATTGCCTCACCCAAAATAAATAAATAAATCTTGTCTTTTCCAGCCTTTTCCTTTATCCTTCTCGGTGCCTGCCTCCAGTCAGTACAGTGTAAGCTCCTTGTAAGCTGTTTTCATCTAGCACAATGCCCAGCATACAACAGACACTTAATAAATGCTTGTTAAATTGAAAGGAATTCACATTGAAGCCATTGAATATCGAGCTATAATGCTGAGTTGGTTTGGAGGATCCTGTCAAGTTCCTCATCTCTAGAATGACATCTGCAATAGACATAGGTGCATAAACTGTAGGGTCTTTGTAGTGGTCTGTTTGGTTATGCTCATCCTAAATACAATCAGTTCAAATAAGTTCCTGAATTCAAATCCGGCCTCAGACACTTACAAGCTGTGTGACCTTGGGCAAGTCACTTAACCCTGGTTGCCTCAGTTTCCTCATCTGTAAAATAAGCTGGAGAAGGAAATGGCAAACCACAACACAGTCTTTGCAATGAAAACCCCGAATGGGGTCACAAAGAGTCAGACAGAACTGAAAAAACTGAACAACAACAAACACTATGAGGAGAAATGACCTAGCACTGTTCCATATAGTTGCTTCCTTTTTTTCCCCTTGGATACACAATGAAATCACCTCCTTTACTCACCTCCTTGTGGAGGACCTGTGAGTTCGTGCTTCCATTCAGATATAACTTCCTTATGTCTTCTGGTTTCATTTATAGTGAGTGAAGTGAGAATTAGGAGGCAGTTAGGTGGTACAGTGGATGGGTCTGGAGTTAGGAAGGCCCAAGTTTAAATCTAGCCTCAGATACTTACTAGGTGTATGACTCTGTACAAGTCCCTTAACCTCAATTTCCTCAACTGTAAAGTGAGGATCATAATAGCATCTATCTCCCAGGATTGTTGTCAAGATCATTCAAAGAGATAATATTTGTGAAGTGCTTAGCACAATGCCTGGCACAAGTTAGAGACTATGTAAATCCTAGTTATTACTGTTAGAGGATCCAGGACCCCTCCATTTCATAATGAGGTATCAGAATAGGATTTCAAGTTGTATCTCTAAGATAGTTATTGCAAGTGTTAGTTTTTTTGCTCTGAAAATAGGCTTCATTCCCTCTATTTTACTTCCAAATTTCTTCAGCCTTTCTTTATCCCAGGGAACTCCCCATAGACTAATGCCTCCATATTCTTTCGATATATTTTCTATTTCTTTGTCTTCTGTGGCGAGGTACATTTGGTAAGCATGGGCCTAGATTTTCCCAGCTCTAGAATTCTGTGATCGACACGGAGGTGACTAGGCAGTACCCTGGAGTTACTAGGCTGTGACTCGGGGAAACAACCGGGGGAGAGGAGAGAGGAGTAGACAAGGGAAGAGGACTGTGGGTCTACCCACTGATGCTGAAAAGACTAAGGCTCATATTTGTGCTTTCAGCCTGGGGACCTCCCATCAGATCCAGTCAAAGTGGTACAGTGGAGAGGGACTTCCCTTTGTCCCTCTCCTCCATGCCTGACTTTCAAGCTGTTCTCATAAAATCTCTTTTTTCCCTTTGAGCCTCACTGAGGTTTTCCTCAGATGTCTCTTTGTGGCCTTGAGGTGACCTTGGCTTCTCAAAGGCTATGCCAGCAGAGGGCAAGCCCTGACGTGTCCTACCAAACTGGAAAAGCTTTGGGGATAGGCCCAGGGAAGGACTGTGTGTGAGCCTTGCTAAGTACAAAAAGGCACCAGGGAAGGAAGGTTTTTGGCCATGGCAGCTCATAAAATTGCCTGTTGAGGTATGAAGGGGCTGGCGTTGGGTTAAGTGGGAGGGAATGCCCACGCTTTTGAAATGACTGATCCAGGAAGGATTTTTCTTCAAGGCTCTGCTGAGTATCTACAGCCTGAGGCTACCTGATCTTTGGGGAGGGGTAGCCTGGATAAATCAAAAAGCTTTCTATTGAGCTTTGAAAGTAATATCCCAAGCAAAATTTAATTGAAATGATTAGTCTTCTCTGAAGACAGGTGGGTTGCAGCGTAAAGGGAGGTCTGTCCCCAGTTGTACTAGAGGAAGAGGAGAGGGACAAGAAAACCAGTCCAGGAAGAAACACCATTGAGGGTTAATTGCAGTCTCCTCCCCCAGCCCTGACACTGTACCAGCACCACCCTTCATGTCTCTCTTGTTTTTTCTTCCAGGATTGAGGGCCCTTGTATTGTTGGTCCATGATCTCTTTCCAAAATTAGCAACCCCATCTTTGTCACCAAGTAGGTAAGGACCATCAGTCCCCACAACCTGTCCCTGACTAGACTGACCCACTCGCTTCCCATGCCTTTCCATCAACGTCATACCTCTTCAAACCCAATCTCAGCCTCCCAAGACAACCCCGAGCTGGACCCCCCAAATCATGATCTCCCCAGAGTCCACAGTGATGCCTTACATGCCCCAGATCCTTATGAGTCCCTAGGTTCCCCACTCTCCAAGGTCCCCAAACTCCTTTCATCCCCCATCCCAGACCTCTGGTCTCCTAACCCTCCAGCGTCGAAATCCTTTCTCCTATAATTGTCCCAGAAAGTGAGTGGTTAGAAACCAGGGAAGAGGATTGGAGGTGCTCCAAACCTGGCTGCTACCTGCAGAGGAGAAATGTCCAGTGGGAAAGTCAATTCCTACATCAGGAATTCTAGAACTAGGGTCTATGTATAGATTTCAAGGGGTCTGTGACTTGGATAGGAAAAAAGTACATTTTTATTTTCACTAACCTCTGACTGAAATTGAGCATTTCTTTCAATTATTTATAAGGCATTACTCTGAGAAAGGTCTATAGACCTTACCAGACTGCCAGAGGGATCCATGACACCAAAAAAGATTTAAGAACCCCTGCCCTAGAAGGCACAAGGTTAGGTTTCCATTGCTTCCCTGGGCTCTAAGCCTTGGTCAATGGAGCCTTTGACTTGCTTCTTTCCTGAGGGAAGAGCCCTTGGTCCTGCCATTGAGTTTGTCGCAAATTTACAGACACTGTGAGCCAGTCCCACCCCATTCCCCTCCCACCCTCACCCATGTATCCGAGACTCAACCTCTTACAGATATCTAATGAAATTCAGTGTCCTTTCCTAATGAGGAAACAGCCAGACATCCCAGAAGCAGGAACCTCAAACTCACCTGCTATTTGCTAAGTTACCTAATTCATCAGCTAGGCAGCAAAGTGGCTCAGTGGGCAGAGTGCTGGGCTTGAAGTTAGAAAGACCGCAGTTCAAATTTGCTCTCAGACAATGTGATCCTACCAACAAGGTTGTCATGAGAGTCTAGTAAGAATATTTGTAAAGCGCTTAGCAGCATCCCTGGCACATAGTAGGTGCTCTATACATGCTTATTCCCTCCCCTTTCCTCTGTTTCTACTTGTACTGTGTAACTCCCAAAGAGACGAGAGACTATATAATATGACAGGAGGAGTGGGAATGAGGGGAGAGGGTTGTAAGCAGCCCAAACTGGAAAGAACTAGTTTCCAAGATCTAGGTTCTAATCCTGGCCCCATCACTAACTTGATGTATGACTTTCTCTAAATCTTCATTTTATAGATGGGAAAAGTGGGAGGCAGTATGGCATTGTGGAACTAGCAGGGAATTGGGGGTCAGAGGACTTGGGTTCACATCTCAGCTCTGCTTCTATCTTCATCACCCTCTTTGGGCCTCAAGTTTCTTCATTTCTAAAAAAGGGAGAGATTAAACAAAACAGTGCCTAAGGTATCTTTATAAGATAATTGTTCCTTTGAGTGACTTCCCCTAGGTCCCACAGCCGGTTAGTTTCAGAGCTAGAATTAGAATCCACGTCTTCAGGTCTGAGGCTCTTTCCATTACACCACCAATTGTTTCCTTTTGTCTTTGTTCTCAGCCATAAATACTCTTCCCTTCTGTTCCTGCCCCTGTGTCAGCAAACCTTACTCTTTTCCTAATAGGTGTGTGACCGGTGCGACCAGCCATGGCCCCATTTCTACGCATCTCCTTCAACTCCTATGAGCTCGGATCCCTGCAGTCTCCTGAGGAAAACTGTCAACCGTTCTGTGCTGTCAAGATGAAAGAATCACTGAACACAGGTAAGAAGGAGCCTGAGAACGAGACCTGTCTAGAGACTCAGCTACGGGAGAAGGGGGTTGGCTAAATGATTCAGTCCTAGAGCTGGGAGGGAAGAGAGAGCATCGAGGCCAACCTTCCTGCCCCAGAATTCCCAGGCCCGGGAGGCAGGGCGGGGCAGAAGGAAGAGATGGGTCAGGATGGATGAGTCTGCAGAACTCACAGACTGCCTGCCCTTCATCTGCCGGACCCCTTCACTTCTCCCTTGTGCTGGCTGCATCATGACCACCGCCTAGCTTAACAGAGGGAGAAGGCTGAACCTCTCTTGGTTCCTCTTGGGCTGCTGGGGTGGGACTGGGCAGTGATGGAGATCTTGCTTGTAATGAGGTTTGCAGATCGTCCCTGGTGGATAAGTAGATGAGGCTGGAGTGAGCTAACAAGAGCTAGCTGGTGGGGAGATATCTTCTGGGGAGGGAGTGGTGCTTGAAGATGTGTTCCATACCCTGTGTCCATCCACCCCACCCCCAACTACGTGGGCCTCAGAGAGAGGGAAGACGCTGGTTCAGAAGAAGCCCACCATGTACCCAGACTGGGCATCGACCTTTGACGCCCACATCTACGAGGGACGGGTCATCCAGATTGTCTTGATGAAGGCGGCCGAGGAACCCCTATCGGAGGTGACTGTGGGTGTGTCCGTGTTGGCCGAGAGATGCAAGAAGAACAACGGCAAAGCTGAATTCTGGGTGAGGGGTGCTGTCCTCGGTTGTGATAAGGAATCATCAGGGCGGGCACTCTGAATGGATGCCCATGAATGTATGTGTGTGTGTGTGTGTGTGTGTGTGTGTGTATGTGTGTGAACACTTGAGTATTGGTTTGGGAATCGGAAGACCTGGATTCAAATCCTGCCTTGCATGCTTAGTATCTGTATGACCTTGGATAAGTCACTTAACCTCCTTCAGCCTCAGTTTCCTCATCTTTAAAACGAGGGAGTTAGGCTAGATGACCTCTGTGGTCCTTTCCAGCTCTATATCCATGACCTCTTTGTGTCCTTGGACAAGCTGCTAAGCGCTCTCTGGGCCTCAGTTTCTTTATCTGTAAAAATGAGAAGGCTGGGTGAGATGGCTTCTGAGGTCCCTTTCAGCCCCAGATCTATGCTCTCACTCCATATGTATCTACGTGCCTTTGTGTCTGTGAGCATACATGTATGTTGGAGCTGATAGGACCCACAGAAAGTCCCTGGGCTGTGCTCCCCCCAAGCAGAGATGTCTCAACAGGAAAAGGCTTTATAACTGTCCATTCCTCTGCCCCCAGTAAGACCTACTTCAGGCAAGCTAGAGCAGGGGAAGGGCAGATGTGTGACAGGGCCCCCACTGACTTCTCCCCCCATGAGAGGCTGAGGGCAGAGTCCTGGATCCATACAGGGAATATTCTTTCGGCACCTTCTTCTGGTTGCCGTAGCAGACAAAAAGACTGTAGAAGAAGGGAACTCACAGACAGTAGGGGGGAACAAACACCAAGAGAAAAATGAGGAGCCGCTGACCTGTAGGTGCCAAATACTGTAGTCCAGACTGGGGCCAGCAGGGCTGAGGAGCTGCAGGAGAGTCAGGAAGGAAAGGCTCCCTGGAAGAGGTGAGTTTTTTACCCAAGTGAGCTTGTTTGTATGTGTGAGCCAGAGGACGTGTATGCCCTTTCTGGTGTCCCTGTGTCCCAGAGTGTGTTTGTGATGTTCTAGGTTGGGTGGCCTTCTCTCTGCAGCCTGAGGACCCCCTGCCTCCCATCTGGGCTCTTCCTCTCAACGGAGCAGCTGTTGGGTGGGGGCAGGAGTGGGGGTGGGGAGTTTCCCTTCCTTCTCATTCTGTCCCTGGGCCTTGGCCGGGGTTAGAGCCTTTCAGTTCCCCAAATGTAACAGTACTTCATGGGGGATGGGGACCCTGCCTCTCACTTCAAAGACCCTTTCCTCTACACTGGACATCCATTTGGATGAAGATGTTTGGTGGGGCTGCAGCCTGAGGGGATGGGATCAGAGGGATCTTGACTGGTAATTGGGTATGACTGACAGTGCAGTGCCTGGATGGAGAAATAGGCCAAGGGATGGAGGCCTGAGGGCCCAGGGCACAGCCTGGCTGTGGGGACTCCTGCCCTCTCCTCATGGGCACACCTTCTTGTCTCCTCAGCTGGACCTGCAACCTCAGGCCAAGGTACTCATGTCTGTCCAGTATTTCCTGGAAGATACAGGTAAGGGATGGTTAACCAGGGCCTCACGTCGTGTGCCTGGGCCCTGCTGGGGTGGGGTCGGGGAGTGGACATGCCTATCCTGTAGCAGTAGGAAGAGATAGAAGACCAAGCGCAGGGCAGTGACAAATACGGGGTTCAGACTGTAGTCTGCTAGACTTACTATGCTCTGTCTTGTGAGTCGTCCTAACCCTTTAGCAGCACAGATCACCCTGCTTCCTCCTCAAGTTTGGTTCAGAGGGGGTAGAGCAGAAGATTTTGGGGAACCAGTTGCTGTTGCCTACTATGGATTACCCAAGTGGACTTTCCTCACCCTCCCCAAACCCCAGTACCTTGCACTCAAGTCTCCTCTGAGGCTGACTCTCTCTACCCAACCCCACCTCTCATTTCCTATTCAGAAAAGCTGAGTAGTCCTGGCCTTACCGCTCACTCATGGCGTGACCTTAGATAAGTCCCTTCCCCTCCTGGCCTCTAAAATGAGATTGAAGTGCTCTGAGTGCCTTTCTAGGCTCTGATGTGCCTAGACTTTAATGACTCTGGAATCTCCAGGCTAAGGTCTTCTGGTGTCCTCCCCAGATTGCAAACAGTCCATGAGGATGGAGGACGAGAGCAAATTCCCCACCATGAACCGGCGGGGGGGCCATCAAGCAAGCCAAGATCCATTATATCAAAAACCACGAGTTCATTGCTACCTTCTTTGGCCAGCCCACTTTCTGCTCAGTCTGCAAGGAGTTTGTTTGGTGAGCAGCGTGGAAGGTTCCCAGCAGGGAGAAGGGGAGTCAGGCTCCCAGGGGGGAGAAGGGGAATGGGTCTGAGGAGAGCTGGGGAGGCAGGGCAGGGGCTGCCTTGAGAAGTCTGAGGAGCTGGGGGGAGGGATTAGGACAGCTCCTTTGGAGGCTAGGACTTCTTCTAGGGGAGGCAGGAAAGGTCATGCCTCACCTGATCTCTTTGACTCGGTTTTTCAGGGGCCTTAACAAGCAAGGCTACAAATGCAGACGTAAGTGTGACCCTGGGCGTGTGGGTGTGTATATCGATGTAGGTGTGTTTGTGCGTCCCTGGCGCTTTTGAGTCACACATGTAAATGTGTGTGCCACTGTACAAATGTGTGAGTGTGTGAATATGAAGGGGGTTGCTCTAGCCCTCGCCCTTCTGTCCAGTAGCCCTTCTGTACTGCCCCTGCCCTAGGGTATCCATTCCCCAGAGAGCCCTGTACTGCTGCCCCCCCCCCACCAACCTCCTCCCTGGTGTTCCCTAATACCTTCTCAGGATCTCATTGTCCCTGTACTCCTAGATGGTGCCTTCCATTCACTAGGTCCCTCTCTCCCTCTGGATCCCTCCATGGCCTTCCCATCCCCTTGGTGCCCCCATTCTGGCCATTATTTATTCTTCCCCGCCACTTCCCCTCTTCCTAAGCTTAGGGCTTATGGTAACCAGGCAGGCAGGGGGTGGGGAGGGGAAAAGGATCAGTCCTTTGGGTCAGATGCCTCCCTAATGGTGTGGGAGGCTACTCAGGCAGGCCAGGAAAACGGGAAGCTTTGTGCCTGGGGGATGGGCAGTGTTGGGCGCCTGCTCACAGTCTCTGCCCCCTGCCCTGCATCTCTTCCCACCCCCCCACCCTGGCCTTGCCTCCCCAAGAGTGTAATGCGGCGATCCACAAGAAATGCATCGACAAGATCATCGGCCGGTGCACGGGCACGGCGGCCAACAGCAGGGACACCGTGGTGAGATGGGATGTTGGGAGCAGGGTGGGACCGTCATGATGACAAGAAGGGGGCAAACTGGGGACCTTATAGTGAGAGTGGGTGAAACTGCTAGGGAGGGACCACAGAGTCCTTTGGGAGGACTTTTGTAGGAATTGGGGGTATGGGGTTGTTTTCAGGGGAAAGAGAAACCATTCAGCATGTGGCTGGCACCCACATACAACCTGGTCTTTCTTCAAAGCAGTCTAGGTAGTGAAGGCTCAGAGTGGTGCTAGGTGTCCCCATCTGAGGCCTTCATTGCCAGGCAACTCTGTACCCCCTCCCAGCAAGGGCCTGGCTCCTAGCAGCCTCTGGGATGGCTCTTCCTGTAACTTCTGAGGAGGGATGCCCTTTGGGAGGCGGGAGTAGAGACGACATGAGGAAATCCCTAGAAGGTTTCTCCAGGCTTCCTCCCACCCCCAGCTCCCAGCTCCCAGCGCCATCCTTGCCTGTGACTTGGGCCTTCTTTCTGGGCCTGTTTTCACCTCTGAAGTGGCATGGATTAGGCAGTCTTTAAGCCCTCTGACCATCCGTGACTCGAGTTCTGTCTAGCTGTCAGAGGGCTAGATGGTGGGGGCAGAGGAGTGGGAGGAAGAGTCAGGGATTCACTGCACATTCCTTATGCTCTCCCCAGTTCCAGAAGGAGCGCTTCAAGATAGACATGCCGCATCGCTTCAAGGTGTACAACTACATGAGCCCCACCTTTTGTGACCACTGTGGGAGCCTGCTCTGGGGACTGGTGAAGCAGGGCTTAAAGTGTGAAGGTTTGTGAGCAGGTAGCAATGGCAGGGGGGCTGGGAGAAAGTGAGAGGAGATGGAGAAGAAAAGAGAGGGAGGGAGTGTGAGGGAGCCTTCAGGGAGAAGTAGCCAGTTCCAAACTCAGAGCCCCAAGCCTGTCCCTGTGCCCACGGAGAAATCCAGGTGGAGATGTCTTGGAGGTAACTGGAGATGCAAATGGAGAGCTCAGAAAGAGAGGTCAGGGCTGTGCTCATTGATTGGAAATATTGATCGGAGAGTTATCTACTGAGGCAGTGGTTGAAGCCTTGGGAGTGAAAGAAACTGAGGACAACACTGGAGCAACAGAAGAGTTTTTCAAAGGCAGAGCCTTGGGGAACATCCACATTGAGAAGGGAGGAGGATAGAGGGGAGCTGGTAGAGACAGGAGGGTGGGTGTCTCTGATGCTGAGGGCAGAGAGTGTTCAGAAGAAAGGGGGTGGGTTTGCTCATCAGTGCTCCAGTATGGGTCTCTTTTCACCTAAGCGATGCAGCGGATAGAGTGCCAGGTCTGGAGTCAAGAAGACATCTTCCTGAGTTCAAATCTGGCCTCAGACACTTAGTATCTGTATGACCCTGGGCAAGTCATTTAACTCCTCTCATCTTCATTTTCCTCATCTAGAAGAAGGGGATGATGATGATGGCACCTTCTTCACTGGGTTGTTGTGAAGATCAAATAACATGAATATGTAAAGAGCTTTCAAACCTTAAAGTGCTATATAAATACTGGAGCTATTATGATTATTTTTTGTTACGTCATATTGCCTCTTGGATAGAAGTAGGTCAAGGTGTATGCAGATTTCTTGCCTGAAATCTCATTTCTTTGAAGAAGAAAGGAAGGCAGAAAGGGAGGAAGGAATCATGCATTTACTGATCACCTCCAATATGCCACACACTGTGCTAAGAACATTACAAATTTTTCTCATTTGAGACTCACAACAACCCTACATCCCAATTTTACAGTTGAGGAAATTGAGGTAGACAGAGGTTAAGTGGGTTGCCCAGCGTCACACAGCTAATAAGTATCTGAGTCTGGATTTGAACTACAGAGCCAGATCTGTATCCATTATTCTACCTAGATCCCTCTAGGGCCCTGGGGAGACCAGTGGGATTCAGGGGAGATTCCAAATGCCTATACTTTCTCTCTCTCCTAGACTGTGGGATGAACGTACATCATAAGTGTCAGAAGAAAGTGGCAAATTTATGTGGCATCAACCAGAAGCTGTTAGCTGAAGCATTAAACCAAGTCAGCCTGGTATGGAGGGAAAAAAATCAGTCCCCAGGGTATGGGAGGCGGGCTGGGGAGGGGTCTTACTGCTATGCTAGGACAAGGGGAGACTCTAGTCAGCCCTGATCGGATAAGGACAGATAGAAAATCCCAACCCCAATTTTCAGGCTAGAAAATTTAGGATTTGTTGGGGAAGAGATGATACATGTTAACTTAGGACTGTAGGTTTCTTCATAGAGAGAGCTCCCAAGAACATTTCAGGGCTCTGAAAGAGTTAAAGAAGAACCCTGTAGGGTGGTAGGAAAAGCGCTCAGAATCTTCAAGCAGAAATGTTAGGAGGCCACAGAAGATCCACCAGAAGTGAAATGAACATATCTTGAGACAAACAGAGGACCTCAATAGGAAAATGCCTAGCCTTTTCAGCTAGGCAACCATTGAATAAAATGGAGTAAACCTGTGTTTCCCCCCCCCATAACCAGCTCTGGGAATTTGTCTTAGTAATGGAGTTGGGGTTGTCGGGGATCAGGATCCAGCTTCTCCCTTCAGCTGCCTCCCCTCTTGGTGCTATGGAGCTGGCTCTGGCTGCAGACCCCCTTTCTGTTTATTCTCCTCCAGAAATCTTCCCGGAAGTCAGACACAGGGTCTACAGAAAGCTTTGGCATCTACCAGGGCTTTGAGAAGAAAGCAGGTCCCTCTGGGGAAGATTTGGCAGGTGAGATTTCGAAACACAGAATTCTATTCTGCTAATATTTACTAAGCACATACTAAGTGCAATGCACTGGGGATGCAAAGCAAAAAAAGAAATAGTCCTTGCCCTTGAGGAACTTATATTCTTCTTGAGGGATACAACATGTATGTACAATGTATTGGTACACATATATGTCAATAAATAGATCCAAGGAAATTTGAGGAGGGAAGGACCATTGTTGGGGCAATCAAGAAAAGTTTCATAGAGGAAGCAGCACCTAAGCTGAACCTTGAAGGAATCTTCAGGATTCAGAGATACAGAGATAAGGAAGAAGGCGGGAGAAAAAAAGGGGATAAGCATCTCTGTAGCACCTACCGTGTGCCAGGCACTGTGCTAGGCACTTTACAATTGCTATCTCATTTGGTCCTCACAATAACCTTCAGAGGTAGGTGCTATTATTATTCCCATTATAGATGAGGAAACTGAGGCATACAGGAGTTAAATTCTTTGCCCAGGATCACACTAGTAAGTGTCTGAAGTTGGATTTGAACTCAGGTCTTTCTGACTACAGGCCCAGTACCCATGCACTGTGTTACCTACCTGCCTCTATCCAAATAGCTTACGCAAAGGCGTAGCATTCAGGAAACAGTGAGTGGTCCATTTTGGTTGAAATAAAGAGTTAAAGAAGGAGAATGATGAGATACAAGTCTGGAATGATAGATGGAAGCAAACCTGAGAAAGGCTTTGAACCTGAGGCTTAGGCATTTGGATTTTGCCACAGAGGCAACAGGAAACCACTGAAACTTTTGATCCAGAGGGTAAGTTGTACCAGGGAGAGTACTTCACCAGGTCCCTGGAGGTCTAGAGAGAGGAAGACCAATTAGGAGGTTATAACAGTTGTACAAGTGAAAGATGAGAAGGGCCTGAACTTAGGTATGGCCATGGAAATGGAGAGAAAGGGGCAAAGATACTGTGGAGGTCATCAAGATTTAGCAACTGATTGGATAAGGGAAGTGAGGGTGAGGGAAGAGTCAGGGGTGATTCAAGGAAGAGTCAGGGAAGAAATAGGCACGACTAGAAGGGCTGGCTTGTTCCCGACAGAAGTAGGAGATTTGGAGGAATGGTAAGTTAAGAGGGAAATGTTCAGTTCTATTTTGCACCTGTTGCATTTGAGGTACTCATGAGCCATCCAAGTGGAAATGTCCTGTAGGCCGGTGGAAAGGCAGGACTGGAGCTCACCAGAGATCAGGGATGAATGTTCAGGTTTGGGAATCATTTGCTATCCATGCATAATTGCTGGGAATTGATGAGAAGAGAACCTAAGCCAGAGTATTGGGAGGCACCCACATTTAGGGGATAGGAGATAGATGATGGGATTCTGTCTGGAAGGAGATATAGGAGGGGAATCAGGAGAGACCATTGATAAAGAAGCCAAGGGGCTCAGAATATCTAGAAGGAGGGGAAGTAATGGTCAGAAGTTGGGTGTAGGAGGTGAAGGAGGATAAAAACAAAGAAAAAACCAACAGATTTGGGTTAAGAAATTGTTGGTAACCTTGGAGAGAGTAGCTTTGGTAGAGTGGTGGGCTTAGAAGCCAGATGATAAAAAGTTAAGAAGGGAAAGGTTGGTGAGACAGTGGAGACAATGAGAGTAGATGGCTCTTTTTAGGGGCTCAGCAATAAAGGAATGAGAGATATTGAATGATAGTTTAAGAGGATGGCAGGGGGGGCAGCTAGGTGGCACAGTAGATAGAGCACTGGCTCTGGATTCAGGAGGACCTGAGTTCAAATCTGGCCTCAGACACATAATACTTACTAGCTGTGTGACCCTGGGCAAGTCACTTAACCCCATTGCCTAGACCAAAAAAAAAAAAAGAGGATGGCAGGGGCCAAGCGAAGATTTAAGATGGAGAGTAGGGACCTGTGTATATTTGTCAGCAATGGAAAAGGACCCAATAGATACAGAAAGAATGGAGATGAGAAAGAGTGGATAAAGATTGATGAGACAAGCTCCCAGAAGGGATAAGAGAGGAAGAAATAAAGGGTACAGGGGAAGGAATTGGCCTTGATGTGAAAGAAGGCTACTTTTTTCAGAGACTGGAGTGAAAAAAGAGAAGATTGGTAAAGATTTCAAGTGTGCAATAGGGAAGATCAAAGAGCTCATAAGAAGCGATTAAGATTTTCTTCTGAATGTAGTAGGCGAGTATATATCGAGAGCAATGTGATGAGAATGGTGTAGGGAACCTGGGGAGAGGAGAGGATTTTTAACAGCTGCTCTTGGGACTATGAGAAATTCAGGAAGGAATGAAAGGATGGCCATTCCATTGTAGTGAGGGCCAGTTGAGATTAGATGACAGATTTGTAGTCAGCATTTGTGTGACTTCCTCTAGCCAATTTCAGCAACATTGAAATAGAAGGTAAGGAGGTAGATTTGGGGGATCATTAAATGTTGAGTCTGAAGTTTGTCAGGGTATGACTGGCAGGAGGATAAGGGGGCATAGTGTATGTCAGTGGGGGACAGTGTATATTTGATCTGGTCAGCTGAAGGTGTCATCTGTGAATAAGAATACTAGAGTTCTGTTCTGGACCTTCCTGTTATCTTCCTATGTGGCCCCAGTGGCGTTAATGCCCCTTCTCTGATCCTCGATGTCTCCTTTCTCTCCCTTCCCTCCCCCCAGTCCTATGGGGAGCGGCCAATCTTGGTGGAGGGCACCTTCCTAAGAGTCCTTCCCTGCCCCTTTGAACCGAGTTAAATGTGGGTGGATGTTGGGGTCTTAGGTAAAGATCTGAAATGTTTATTTTCTGTTCCCACAGATAATGGGACCTATGGGAAGATCTGGGAAGGCAGAACGCCCTCCAAGTTCAACATCGACAACTTCACATTTCACAAAGTCCTGGGCAAGGGGAGCTTTGGGAAGGTGAGGGACCTCCTCCTTTGGCCACCAGTGTTGGAAGGAGCTTAGAGATCCTTTCATCCAATGATGTCCCAAAGAGGTTAAACTGCAAAGCCAGGAATTGAACGTGGGTCCCATGGTTAAAATCTACAGGTGCTCCTTGGGAATGGAGAGAGGCATCCTCTCTCTCTATGGAACATAATTAGCCACAAGGGGTTGATTAGATTAGCTAATTCTGAGGGTGCTAAGAGGATAAGCTAGAGTTTGAGTAAGGATTGGAGAAGAAGGAGGAGCTGGCAGAGACAACCGCCAGGGGGGCATCTTCTCATCTTAGTTGGGGTAGAGAGTTTGTGAGAACTTAGACACTAAAACATATGGGAACCACTGAAAATCCATTAGAAATGAGCCTCCTGGGAAAACATTATTGCAAGGCAATGGGAAAATAGGATTTGATCTATGCAGTGTCTATCCACACACGGTTTTTTTCAGATCTGCACAACTGTGGAGTGAAGCATTATGCATGTGGGTTGTTAGGAAGTCAGATCAGAGTAGGCAGGTGTCTTGGAGGGTGCCAGGCTCTGGGAAAGGGGGTGCCTGGAGCACAAGTGTCTAGTGTACAGCCACCCTTGGGACCAAGGTGAAATCGCCCAGACTATGGGGTCTCTTCCATCTCCTCTGTCCTGCTTCAGTCCCTTTGCCTCTCTGATTTGATGACTCAGGTGCTGCTAGCTGAGCTGAAGGGAAAGGGCGAGTTCTTTGCAGTAAAGGCTCTGAAGAAAGATGTCGTTCTGATAGATGATGATGTGGAGTGCACCATGGTGGAGAAGCGAGTGCTGGCACTCGCCTGGGAGAACCCATTCCTGACGCACCTTTACTGTACTTTCCAAACCAAGGTACTTTCCCCAGACATGTGTCCTGTCCTTCCACCCCCACTGAGCCTGGAGGATCCCCAAGCTCAGAACCATGTCTCCTCTTCAGGCATGGGACGTCTCAGAACTAGGGATTTCTGAGGTTAGGGGTAGATGTCTTTCCTTCTCTGTCACCTGATCTACCTTCTGTCTTTCCCTTCTCCAAGCCATCCACACAGCTGACGAGATATCCCCCCCAAAGCCCAGTCTAATCATATCACTTTTCAACTCAAGAAGCTACTATGGTTCCAGAGCTGTGCTGGCAAATGTTTAACAACCAGCTCTCTGAGGGTGGGAAGGTAGGGTGGGGAATATGTGCATGCACACTTTTTTAAAAAATTAATTTATTTTGAATTATCAACAATCACTTCCATAAGCTTCTGAGTTTCAAATTTTTCTCCCTCTCCTTCCCCACCTCCCTCCCCAAGATGGCACGCAATCTGATATAGGCGATACATATACATTCCTGTTAAACATATTTTCACATTAGTGATGTTGTAAGTAAGAATTAGAGCCAATAGGAGGAACCACCAGTAAGAGGAAATAAAACACAACAGAAGAAAAAAAAATTGCAAATAGTATGCTTCGATCTGCATTCAAACTCCATAGTTCATTCTTCTTTGTGGATAGCATTTTTCATCATGAGGCCTTTGGAGATGTCTTAGATCCTTGTATCGCTGAGAAGGGTTAAGTCTATCAATATTAGTCATCACACAATGTGGCTATTACTGTGTACAACATTCTCCTGGTTCTGTTCATTTCACTCATCATCAGACCATACAAGTCTTTCCGGGTTTTTCTTAAGTCAGCCTGTTCATCATTTCTTATAGCACAATAGTATTCCATTACATTCATATACCATAACTTGTCAAGCCTTTCCCCAATTGATGGGCATCCTCTCAATTTCCAATTCTTTGCCACCACAAAAAGAGCTGCTATGAATATTTTTGTACATGTGGGTCCTTTTCCCATTTGTTTGATCTCTCTGGGATACAGCCCTAGAAGTGCTATTGCTGGGTCAAAGGGTATGCATGCACAGTTTTAAATTTAATCAGTATTATTAACATTTTCTCCACCAATCAACAAAACAATACATCAACCCCTGATTTGTAGTTTGCTGATTTCTGAGATGTAAATGCTCACGCTGAAAATTTAACAGCGCCTGTTCAAGCTGACTCCAAGACACTCCTGTCTGAGTGATTCCGTATTCTTTCTTGGATAAAATAGAAACTCCTCCTCCTGGCATTTAAGTCCTTTCACAGCCTGGCTGTGTCCAGCCTTACTTTCATATCTCTCTCCTTCTCATACTCCATTTCCACCAGACTGGCCATTCCCCAAACTTGACCGGTCATCTTTGCCTTCTTGCTGTGCCCCAGACTGGTCTCCTTCCTTGCCTGTACCTTTTTAGCTTCATCTTTCAAGGCTTCTCTCACATGCAACCTCCTCCAGGAAGCCTTTCTCAGGCCTCTTAGTTGGTAATGTTCTCTCCCACCTCTGGTTATCATATACTTACTGTAGTAGTAGCAGTGGCAATAGTAATCATAGTAATAGGAGGAAGAAGAGTAACCACTTATTTACAGGGGGTGTCCCAAAAGTCTCAGAGTAGTTTTAAGCTTTAATACCTGAAGACTGCACTAAGACTTTTGGACACCCTATATAGCACATTAAGGGCGGCAAGTTATCTCATTTCTTATTAGATCCCTCTCACTCCCCTCCTCCTCTGCCCCAATGGAATGTGAGGTTCTGAAGGGAAGGGACTGGTTTTTTGTGTGTTTTATCTCCAATGCCTAGCACACAGTTGACAAATAATAAATGCTAGTTGAAATCGGCATGTCCGGCATCGACTGAGTGTTGCCCACAGGGGTACTTTGTAGGGGGTCTACCTACCTGTCCCCATATGCTGGACTGTGGCCCCTATGCTCACTACCTTTCCCTTCTTCTGGCCAGGATCACCTGTTCTTTGTGATGGAATTCCTCAATGGAGGCGACTTGATGTTTCACATCCAGGATAAGGGACGCTTTGACCTGTACCGAGCCACGTGAGTGATGGGCCAGACGTTCCTGGGTGGTGGGAGGAAGATTCCCCCTACAGAGTGGAAGGCATTGTAGTGTCCCCTAGACCCTTTTCCGTTCCCCTGTCTTTCTCTCCTGGGAAGCCGTACTCACCGTGTCTGAGCCCCAGGGATCAGGGCTGACAGAGGAAAGATTTGCAGCAGATAGAGCGTTCTTGGTACCCTTCAGATCACCCTCTGTTGGAAGCTGGAGTAGATTGGAAAAGAGCCCAGGACCAGAAGTACTGGTTTCATGCATGTCCCAGCCTTATCTTGAATTCACCGCGACTTCAGGGAGTCCCCGTCCATTCTAGCCTTAGTTTCCTCATTTATAAAGTGTCAGGGTTGGGGAGACTAGGTGACTGATCTTAGAATCTCAGCTTTTGCTGCTCCAATGTCCTGTTCTTCTCTGGCAGTGCCCGGGAATGATAATAACTCCTTATGTGCATAAAGGGCCTTTTCCCTTCATGTTCATTCTTCTGTTAGATCCTCAGACCAAAAGGGCAAGCCAGAGATTATTATCCCCTTTTTACAGATGAGAAGAATGAGGCCTAGAGAGACATTAATAACACCTTACATTTATATAGCACTTTCACATAAATTATCATATTTGGTTACACAGTCACACATTGAGCTGGGACCAAGTTGAAACTAGAGATTGGGCTTTTGACTCCTGATTTTTTTAAAATTTAATTTATTTATGTTTTAGTTTTTTAGTTTTTATTTTGTTTTAGTGTTTTTAGTTTTCAGCATTCACTTCCATAAGATTTTGAGTTTTGAATTTTCTCCCACTGCCACTTCTGACTTTTGTCCAGGATTGATACTTTGATATTGAGCTTGGTCAGGTCCTGCTTTTGAGGAGCTCAGTCATCCAGATTGTGTTTGGAGGGAAAAAAAAAAGAAGTCATCAGTCTTAGTTGGAATGATATAGGGAACCTCTAGGCAATGTTCTTTTGGGGAAAAAGAGTTTAGGTATAGGATTGGCCCTTAGCCCAACATGATCTCTGGGGCACAGTCTAAGTTGTGATTCCCATAAAAACTCTCCTGTGATACTGTATGAATTCAAACTTCACTTTCTCCCCATGGTCTTTAGTTGGCCTGGTAGTGAGAGAAAGGGAGGGGTATGTGTCCTGGGGATGAAGAAGCGGTAAGAAGGGCAGAAGAGGCAAACCTTTAAGCCAGCTCCTACCCCTTCCCAGAGGATGAGCCTAACCCATCCTGTTTCCAAGACACCTGAAAAAGCCCTTACCTGCTCTTATAGTCCTAACTTATCCTCCATAAACTTGACCCTCTCCCCTTGACCTTAAACCTCTGATAACTATTAACATTACTTCCTTTGACATGGCCCTATTCAATTCTGTGGTGCTAGAGCCCACTGCTTATGGTCAACTTCTGTCGTGAACCTAATTCCTCTGCTCAGTGACCAAAAGCCCAAATAGAGGGAATCTAACTTTCTGATGGCCCTATCTCCTCCTAGCCTTAATCCTCTTCCAATAATGGTAACTTCCTCCATGGCCCTAACACTTTTCCAATGACTATTCCACCATCACCCTGCCCGCACCCTCCATCCCAGTGATGTTAACACTAGTGGCCATACCACTTTCATTGCCATACTTCCTCATGGTTACATCCCCTCCATATCCCTGACCTTTCCTTATGAGCCTAAACCCCACTGTAGCTTTAAGCCTCCCAATGGCCCTAATACCTGTCCTGCCTCATCATGGCCCTAAACCTCTACACCAAAATAGTCCAAATACCCTCTGATGGTTTTAACTCCAACAATCAGCTCTCCAGTAGCCATCCCTCCTCGATGGTCTTAACCCTCTGCATGCCCTGAACCATGCTTTTCTCTTCCACCAAGACCCTAAACTCCTCCAATAGCCTTGACCTTCCACACGATTGGAGGAGCTACCTTATCCAACAGTGACCAATTCTCTTATCCTCCTCTGCCTTCCTTGGACAGGTTTTACAGTGCTGAGATCCTGTGTGGTTTACAGTTCCTACACAGCAAAGGCATCATTTACAGGTGAGTCATGGCCTAGAAATGGACGGGGGGGTGGGAGGTAAGGGATACAAGGCAACTGGGAGCTCCAAAAACACAGGAACCCCTGTTAGCCAAATGTTACAGTCCCTTCCAGTTTGGGGTGCAGTGTTCTGCTTGTAGTAGACGCCTAACAAATACTTGTTGAGGTAGGTTGAACCCAGGGCAGACAGGCCAGGTTCAGCAGAGCTGAAGAAGAGGTCTTTCCTAAGGACCAGGGATCAAAGGCAGATCTCCTTGAGGTGGGGGGAAAGGAAAAGGAAGAAGAGCCCATCAAGGGTCCATTTAATCACTCTTGCTCTTGGGGGTATTGGGAGCCCCTTTTGTCTCAGCTCCATGGAGAAGAGTCTCTGTCTCTTCTCCCTCCCCCCCATCCCCCCATTGATCAATACTCACCTTAAGGAGAACTCCCTCCTCTGTTTCCTCTCCACCCCCATGTCTCTCTCTGCCTGTGTTGGTCTGTCTGTCTCTCCTTGGCCTCTAATGGCCTGCTTGAGAAGAGCATCCCAAGTGCTGGACATCTCTGCCAAGGGTGAAGAAGATGGGAAGCTCAGGGTCTCCTCTGCTGTATCAGGCTGGTTCAGTGAACCCTCTGTTTTATCTTACTGTCCCACAGGGACCTCAAACTGGACAATGTGATGCTGGATAAAGAAGGCCACATCAAGATCGCCGATTTTGGGATGTGCAAGGAGAACGTGGTGGGGGAGAGCAGGGCCAGCACATTCTGTGGTACGCCTGACTACATTGCCCCTGAGGTAAGAATGCGCCTGGGCAGTAAGCATTCCTGCCCTGGCCCAGGAGGGAGACCTACCTTGTGAAACACAGAGCATGAGGTGGTTCAGGAAGGGGTCTCCTACACCTAGCTTTGGCCAGAGGCTGACAGTACCTGACAGTACCCACCTGTAAGGCCCTGACAGGAAACCTTCAGAACCATTTGAAGCCTGGTCTCCAGGACTGAGAGTTCCTGTGCCTGGGGGCCTCTCAGCATCTGTCCTATCTGAATCACTGGGGTCTACAGGGGAGTGCCAAATATTTTAGCCTCCGACCAGAGTGGCATATCAGTGAAGGCTGTGTTGCATTTCCCTGGCCCCAAATGCTGGAAGGTGCCATCTTGGTGTCCCACAGCTGGAGAAGTGGTCATTTCTTTTCTGTCTCTGGCCAGTGCCAGGACTTAGCATGGTCATCCAGGGACACCTAGGCCTTCTGCCCCCTGGATTGTTCTGTAACCTCGGATGAGCACTTCTTTCTCTCTGGGCCCGGGTTTCTCACATCTCCCTACTCCCACTAGATGAATAATTTGACTTTGAGAAAGTGCTTTGAATTCAGGAGTGGGGGCGGGGGAGGGGGTTGGCTTTCTGATCTCTTAGTAGAGGAGATGAGAAAACAATCAAGAGAATGTCTGAGGTGGAAGAGACCTTAGGAAGAATGGTGTAGAGGACGAGCTACTGATCTAGGAGTCCTGAGACACGGGTCCCACTCCTAGCTCTGCTGCCAACTGGCTGTCTGACCTTGGGCCATTCTTTTGTCTCTTCTGTCTGGGAATCCGTTTCTTCCTCTGTCACATGAGAAAGTTGATGATCTCTGAGTATCTCTTCTAGATCTGAAAGAACTCAGGAAGTCTAATTGGGTATGACTATGAATAGAATAGAAGAGAGTCCACCAGCACCCGTGCCATTCCCTGCTTGTCCCAGAGGCACTTTTGCCTGCCCTGGCCCCAGCTCTCCCATTTTGCTTCTACAGATCCTGCAGGGCCTGAAGTATACATTCTCAGTGGACTGGTGGTCCTTTGGTGTCCTCCTATATGAGATGCTTATTGGGCAATCCCCCTTCCATGGGGATGACGAGGATGAGCTCTTTGAGTCCATCCGTGTGGACACGCCTCACTACCCACGATGGATCACCAAGGAATCAAAAGACATCCTGGAGAAGGTATGAAGACTCCTATTGATATCAGGAGAGCATTGTCAGGAGGAAGGGAGAGCCCAGACAAGGATGGCAAGATTTGGAAGAAGATAATAGCTAATAAAAGCTAGCATTCATATAGAAATTTAAGGTTTGCAGAACACTTTGTAGATATTATTTCATCTTCACATCAACCATAGGAGGTAGGTACAATTATGATTCCCATTTTACAGGTAAAGAAACTGAGGCAGACAGGTTATGTGACTTGCCCAGAGTCACACAGCTAGGAAGAGTCTGAGGCCAGGTTTTCCTGACTCCAGGCCCAGTGCTCTAACCACTGAGCCATTTAGCTGCCTAGATCAATCAGTTAGTGTTTATTAAGCTCCTCTATGATGCACCAGGCTCTGTGCTAAGTGAGCACTGGGGGCTACAAAGAAAGGTCAAAGACAGTCCCTGCCTTCAAAGAGCTCACGATCTGATGGATGCTACTCTCTAAGGCATGATACTTGTAAGAGAGGAGGAAAAGAAGCAGAAAGAGCCCGAGTTCCCATTTTTCCCTATTCCTGGTCATGGGCTCCTTCCAGAGTCATAACCCCTCGGTCACTACATGCGTGTTACAGCCATGACCTGGGGGAGCTCTTTCTCTTCAAACTGTAAAGCCACTGAGCTGAGCTGAGTAGGATTTGTTCTCTCTGGTGAAGAGAGGCTGGGGTGGGGGTGGGGAAGGAGCTGCAGGAAAGTAGAGGAAAGTTTATTTTGGAGCAAAGGAATCATCTCAAGAGCACTGGGGAGAGGGCGGAGTTAACCTACTTAAGGGAACAGTCTCTTCTTAGATGCCATCAAACTCACTTCCAAGACAGCATTTAATTGAAGACAAACAATGCAGTTGATTCTTGTCCATTCATGAAATCAGGTCTGTGAGACTGCCACCTGGCTCATCTTTGTTGGCCCTTATTCCATAAATGTATATATTGCATAATACTAAAGCCACAGGTCTTTAGAAATATTCCATCATCCCCAATGCCAGCCAGCTTGGCCTAGTCACCCCTGAAGTCAGTCTGTCTGAATCAGTGATGTTTGGTTTTTCCAACATGAGTGCTTTTTACCCATTTACTTCTGAGCAGGAAGGAACCTTAGAGGTCACCTAGTTCTACCTCTGTCATTGTTTTACAGATGAGGAAACTGAGCCCCAGAAAGGTGAAATAAGTGACTGGCTTAAGGTCACATAGGTCATTGGTAGCGGAGTCAGTATTTGAGCTTGGGTTCCTAATTCCAAATTTAGAGCTCATTCAAGTTCACAACATCTTGGCCTTACTGTGTGCATTTCACTCCATCTTTCTAAGTACCAAGGTGGCCAGGTACCTCCTATGTGCCAGGTACTGGCATATAGAGAGAAGCTCAAAACACAAGGTGCCTGCCCTCAGAAAACCCACAGTCTAATTCAGGAGACAAGACTCACCCACATATTACTCTCTGTATTAAGAACAGAGCTGGATTGAGAGGTCCAGACAATAAAGACCGCAAGAACCCAGCAGAAGAAAAAGAAAAATTGCTTTTGGCTGGAGGTAGTCAGTGATGACTTTTCAGAGGATACTGGTCTTGACCTGAGCCCTAAAGGAAGGTAGAATTTGTATGGGTAGAGAAGCAAAGACGAATATTCTCAACTGGTGGAAATAATGTCATCCAAAATGTCCCATGTTGAGTGCCATATACTATTGATGTTTCTCCTCTTCTCCCTCCAGTCCCAGCTCTGTTGCCTGCTAGCCCTATATAATAGGCAATTACTTCCCTGTCTCAGGGCTTTACTTTTCCCTCATCTTTAAAATGGGGATAATAATTCCAAACACAGGATTATTTTGAAGATTATCTCATTTAGATAATGTATATAAAGGCACTTTGTAACCATGAAGCATTATAGAAAAATAAACAGAACCTTATTCCCAACAAGAAGAACTTCTTGGCTCACTCATCAGATCATCCATTTGCCTCCAGATGAAGCTTCTCTCTCTGGCTGGGGCACCTAGAACCAGGTGGGAGAAGACCATGGCCAGCTTCTCTGATGCAATCCTCACTCTGTCCATCACCTAAGTCCCCCAGTGATTGATTCTTGTAGGTTGTTCTCTGCAAACTTGCCTAAATCCTTCCTGAGTTTGAACTTAAACGTGTGTTTATATAACTTTCTAATATAACCATGGTGTTCTTTTGGGCTACAGTTGTTTGAAAGAGATCCCACTAAGAGACTGGGGGTGACAGGTAACATCAAAGTCCATCCGTTCTTCAAGACTATCAACTGGACTCTCCTGGAGAAGAGGGAAGTGGACCCACCATTCAAGCCCAAAGTGGTAAGTGGTCCCACTACCTTGTAGTTGCTTGGCCCCAACTCTCCTTCTTCCCCCGCCCCCAGATCCATCTTCAAACTTCCCTGCCTTCTTTCCATCCACCACCTCTCCTATTTTCACCTTCTCACTCCACTCTCTTCTTCTCTGACTTTGACCTTGCCCTCCTTGGTTCCTCTATCTATTCTCTCTCATTCTTCAGCTGAGCAGACGTTTCCTGTCCCCATCATGTGCTTGGCATTCAAGTAAGCTCCATGAAGTCAGTGACTATTTAATTTTTGTCTTCATATCCCCAGACCTGGTACAATGCCTGGCACCTAATAGATGCTCAATTAATGCCGATGGGTTGAATTGAATTAAATTAGAAGATATTGATGATTGAGTATCTGCTTTGTGCCTAGCCTCATGCCAGATCTTCTGAAGGATCCAAAGACACATAGGGACCAGTCTCTGTCTTTAAAGAGCTGACAGTCTTCCCTGAGCAGGGAAAGAGGGGTGGGGCTAATATGTACATGAAAAGCCACATACATTGCAAGAGTTATGTATCTGTATGAGATGTGTAACCATCACCACCATCAAGCCCCCTTCCATACATCCTTTCCCCTTCTCTCTGCTATTCCATTTAACTTAGATTTAGCTCTTCTGTGCAGGAGATGGAGTGGGATTCAATGAAATCCAAGCTATTCTTCTGTATATTGCCTTCTCTTTCCCTGCTTTAGAGTTATCCTCTGTTCTGGTACTTGGGCTTCACATAAGAATTAGACCAGCCATTCTGTGCAAACTCATATGAGGGAAGCATCTGTGGTTTGACTTGGGACACCCTCAGGTGGGAGCACAGAAGGGGGAGATAACAGGGGTAATGAAAAGTCACCAGTACAGCACCCACTGTCCCTCTGCCCAAGTAGGACATCATCCATCACCTCCAAAGCTAGAACAGCAGCCATCCTCCACAAAGGGGCCATAACCAATACATCCAAAAGGGGGACTCGAAGGTGGAGGGAGGAGTTTAGGAGAGGAGAGTTTAGGGCATGAAGTTTTCCAACCATGGCAAAAGGAAGGAATCTACCATATTCCTATGAGAAGCCACCCATTTGAACTTGGGCCACATTCTCATCACTTCTCTGGAGGTTAATAGCTGGGACTCCCAGATCTATTATCATTCTATGCATGAAGGTATCTCTCAGGGATACTGAAAAGGTAAGAGATTTTTATGGGGAAGGGAAGAGTATCTCACATTCTGAAACTGGCCTCCCGCCCTTTGATGTCACAGGTGGGGAACCATAACTAACAGAGGGAGCATGTCTAGAACAGAGAGAGCCCATTTTGTTTAAAGGCTAGGCCCAGAAAAATAGAGAGGTTTCCTAGTCTCCCATATCCACTCATTCTCTTTGGTACCTAGGGTCCTCCTTCCCTCTCCCTCCACTATACCCTACTTTTAAGAGAGGTCCTAGGATCATGGCCATAGCCATGCTGGGGACTTACAGGAGGGACGAGTATATGGCCTTCTCCTGGCCTAAGGTCCTGCCACCTGCTCACTCTGACCTCTAACATACTCAACTCCTTGCCTTCATACCTCCCCATTATAGAAGTCAGCCGGCGACTACAACAATTTTGACCGGGAGTTCCTAAGTGAGAAGGCCCGCCTATCCTTCAGTGACAAGAACCTCATTGATTCCATGGACCAGTCAGCCTTTGCCGGCTTCTCCTTTGTCAACCCCAAATTTGAGCGACTCCTGGAGAAATGAGTGTTCTGTTGAACCCTCCGCCTCCTTGGTCAAAAGCCCACCAGTGCTAGCTAGCTATGTGTACCGGTTCCCAAGAGTGAACAGGGCTAGGATCTCTCCTGGCCCCCTCTCAGCCCTCTCCTGGGCCCCCATGATATGCAACAGTGTGATTGTAATTATTTCTCCAGCTGCCTCCATGCCCATAGGCGGCAGGTCTTTTGCATGGTTGGGGTTTTAGGTACCTTCCTCTGTGAATCATGTGTGAATTTTCTGCTCCTCTACTTGAGGAGAGAGATTGTAAATCCCATGTTTTGTTACTTGAATGTAGTTATCTATTGAAAATACATATTATATATAAATATATATATATATACATATATATATATATACATATATATATATATATATGAAAAGCTGTATATATTGCTCCATAGAGAAGAAACATGTAAGGGAACTGGTGATGTGTTGACTTTTTTATAAAAACACACAAACAAAATCCAAACATAAACCATGAGACCTCTTGGTTCTTTTATTTATGTCTCCAATAAAACAACGGAACAGTCTGGCTTTTCTTCTGAAGAGTTTTCTTCTTCACAAATTTCTTGGCCACTATCACATTCTGATGCCCATCTAAGGGACTTGGGAAGTTCTCTGCCCTTGCCCTGGGCCAGCTGCACCCGGGCCTCTGCAATTGAATCATCCTACCCACCAGGTCTGGCCTCTTCTCCACTAGCTGCACATATGCTCTCTTGAGTCATGCAAATGCTGGTGTTTATATGTCTTCTTATTAGATAGGGGCTGGGAGAGAAAAAGTCGAGTTTAATCAGCAGTCATCCTCTGCCTTATGTCCCCGGCCATTCTCAAGCAGGGATTGTTTATGAGAGAGATAAGGGGATGCCTGGACCTGCCCTCAAGGAGAGTATAGTCTGGAAAGAGATCAAGGAGCCAGACCCTGCCCTAGGACAAACTTCTAGGATGTATAGAAAAAACAGAGGAGGATGTGAGAGCCAAGAAAAAGCTCACAGTCTATCTAGGTTAGGGGTTGGCAGAGACACAAGATTGATGAAGAAAAACAAAATAGAACTTGGAATAAATAGTAATATTTGCTAAGTGGCCAGTGGGTGGGGTACAGAGAAAGTGCTGTGATTCAGAGATCAGTGTGAGCTGTATTGATCAAGAGAAGCTTTCTGGTTACCATCAGACTTGAGCTGGCCCTTGGAAGAAGGATAGGATTTGGAAAGGAGGAAAGAAAGGAGCGTTCTAAGAGAATATGAGGCAAGAACATGGAGGCTGGAATGTTTGCAGTATGTGTGTGTGTATGTGGGAGGGGGTTATGGGTGAGGAGGGTGGGGGAGACAGTGACTGCCCCAACCACTGGCTCATTGGAGTGCTGGGTCCATGTTGAGGTGAAGGGGAGGTGAGTTTGGAGAAAGAAGGAGGCTCTGAGGCAGCTAACTACACTCTGGTCCCGTCTGCCTACAGCCAAGCACGTTAGCGTGTCTAAAGCCCAGTGGTAGGTGTGTGCTTTGTCTGTCTCAGGGCAGAACCAGGCATTCACCCTTGTTCCCTCTGGTATCTCTCTCATACTCAATTGCCACCCCATTCCCCAAGAACCTAGAGAATTGGAGAACTTGCAAAGGCTAGAAAGAAAGCCCCAAGTCCCCCTGTGTCCTGTCCCAAAGGGCCACATTCTTCTTTTTCCTGAGAGGACTCAAGGAGGAAAGCAGCCACTGTCTGCAGAACTTTCAGCATCTGGCAACCACAGAAGCTCATTTCCTGCAACCACATTTTTATGGGCTGAAATACAAGTTTCCATGGCTGGAGTGAGCCAGAGTCAGAGAGTGTAAGGCAGCCAGCTGGGCGGAGGGCCTGACAGAGGGCTGATGACCACGGCCCAGCCCTGCCCAGGCACTCACCTGGTCAGTTGCAGGAAACCCTAGGGTCAAATGGGGAAACAGGCTTTGCTTTAGCTTAGAGCATTCTGCAAGCTGCTAGTCTGTACCTGAAACTTCAACGCTGCCCCGTCAGTCCGCATCATCTTCTTACACATGCCCTATCCAAGGAAAACAAGACCTGAATCCCAAAGACCCTGTCCCAGCTCTGGGACATGGTGTAGTAATCATGGTGGGGTTGGGGGCTGGGCTGGATAGAAGGAAATTCTAGCTGTTGGGAGCTACAGCCCATCTGTGACTCCTGGGGTGGGGGGAATTTCAGAGGGAATTTTTTTTTTAGTTGAGAGGAGGGTTAGATGCTGTTAGTTCCTATCAGCCTCCAATAAAGAAGCCTCAGGGGAGATGCGGGGGAGCTCTTTTCTACCACTGTGAGCCTATGGCTGATCCAGATTTATCTTGTCAGTGTTCCCAGGGATTCAGTTTTCTAGACTGTGGAGGAAGAAGGACTGGGATGGTTAGCAGGGACAGCGGGACTGGGGTGGGGGTGGGAGAGGGGAGAGAAGAAAGACTTACTTCTGACAGTGGGACCACCCATACCTGCCTTTGCCCAGTCTGGGGAGGCAGGGGCCTGGTCTCCTCTTCCCAGCTGGAGTTCTTCACACCCTGATCCCCATCTGAGCCAGAAGTAGGGCCCACAGTAAATCTAGTTCAGTTTCCTCAGAGGTCTGGGGGAAGTGACCAGCCCTCAGTGCCAGCAGAGTGACGGCAGCTAGGAATGGTCCCCTGTCCATGGACCAGGAATGTGAAGCCTGAATTGCATCTGAAGAGATGCAAGATGCTTTCCCATCTTGGGGGACCAGTATAGTAATGGGTTCATCCTTTCTGTCTCTGGTACTTGGTGGACTTCCTGGGGCAGGGAGGAGATGGGTGGAGTCGAGACAGACTGAAGCACAGAGATATAGTGGGGGAAAGCAAATACTAGTAGCAATGTGTCGAGGTGTTCAGTGACAGCACGAAATGGAAAGCTTGGGAAACACACACACACACACACACACACACACACACACACACACACACTCCCACACACAGTATAGATGGAGGTTCAGAAAAAGCAACAACATACACAGAGGCAAAGATAGAGGACATATCTTGTGGGATAGGGAGATGGGCCTTGGGCCAAGCTAGGCCACATTCCCCTCCAGTCACACTCCCCTCACCACCCCTTTCCCTTCCTGGGAGATGAACCAACTGTGACTCTTACCACAGCACAGTAGAACCTCTGGCTTATAGTTAAGAAGCTAGATCTCTTCTTCTGTTTTCCAAAATGTGAAATTCCAGGACGTAGAATACAAATATAGTAGAACATACACTTATATGTATGTAAATGTGTGTATATGCATACACACATATATGTATAGACACATGTCATATTTAGTGGTCCTTTCCAGTTCTAAATCTATGACTCTAGAATGATTTTGGGGGAAGAAGGGCAGGGATTACTATCTCAACTTTTTTGACTGGGGAAAACAGGCTGAGTCAGAAGAAGTGAATTGCTCAAGGTCACACAACTCTCAAGGGAGAAAAGAGTTGGAGCTGGAAGGAACTTTACTCCCTCTCCCTCATGTTATGAACAATAAGACCCTGCCCCAAGATAAGCCAGATTTACGCCCCAACCTCCATTAACTTTTTTCTTTCCTCCATAGTTCAGGGAAATTAGAGTAACCAGGATAGTGCAGGTAGTGTGATGGCACTGAGTACAGCCCAGAGTAGGGGGTATAGATCCTGGGTGTGTTGGGTACAGAGAGGCCGGTAGCAGCCAGGAGAAACAGCTGCATACAGGAATTGCCAAACCATCACCCCAGGCATTCTGACAAATCACCCACAACTGCCACCAGCCAATTTGGTCTAACCCAACCTCCTCCCCAAGCCACTAAGACCAGAGCTACGCCTGCCACTGCACTGACTTCAGGAAATTCTTCTCATAGCTGGGCTCTAGGCCATGCTTTAATTTGGGGGAATGTAGACATGGAGTGAGCATCCCCAGGAAAGAATGTTATAAAAACAAAATGGGTAAATCAACTTCCATGTCTGTGTTCATGTCTGTTTCCTGGGGGTGGCATAAAAGGCAGACTCCAGGAGGACCTCAGATACTTTCTACCTCAAGGAATTGTCCAGTGATTTCATTAAACGACTCTCCTGTTTACTGAAAAACAGAACTGAAACCTATCCAACTTCCTACAGTCACAGTGTCAGAGGACTCCCAGAAACCATCTAGTTCAACTATATCATTTTACAGAAGGGAAAACAGGCTCAGGAGCAAGGGACTTGCAAAGATGAAGTGCCCTGCCCATGACTATACAATTTATAGATTATAGTTTATAGTTATGTTATTATATTATATTATATTATATTATATTATATTATATTATATTATATTATATTATATTATATTATATTATATTATATTATATTATATTATATTAATTATGTTATGTTATGTTATATTATATTATATTATATTATATTATATTTATATTATTATATATATAGTATATATATATATTATATTATAGTATAGTATAGTATAGTATATTATATATTATATATTATATATTATATATTATATATTATATATTATATATTATAGTTTAGTGCCGAGACTAGAACCTAGGCCTTCTGGCTTTCTGCCTGTGTGGCCAAGGTAACTCATTTTCGATGGCCAGATTGACTTCAGTGTGTGTGTAGCCCAACAATGAGGTCTCTCCCCGTCTCAGAAAGCCACCTAGCTGCTGTTCTGCACCCAAGAGCCATCGCTAAGTGATCAGATGGAACCTCTCTGTGTGCCCAGAATCCTCTGGGGAAGACACCGACATGTTTTTACCAAGCGTCCCTGGCACCTTGTTGCTTCGTTCAGAACCTGACGTTTCCTGAAGGGTTTGTGCTGTTGGACCTTTCTCATTCCCACAAGACTGAAAAGTCACCTACAGACTATCAGTCACAAGCTAGTCTCCTTTGCTATTCTAATACAGCATCTTTCATATCTCTGGCGGGATGTGTTCCGGAAACGCTGACTGGAAAGGGAATTTCTGTAAACCACAACCTACTTCCCCACGGATTTCCATAATGAAATGGAGATGCATTTTCATGAGGAAAAATGACTGCCCATAAAAACACCCACTAAAATAGCATCAATCAAAATAAATTTTAAAAGAGAATCAATAAAACATTTTGAAAATGCTCAGAAAAAGTTTTTTTTTTAATGAAATGGAGTGTGGTATAATTATAATTACCAAGTTTGGCCTTGGAAAAGACTTGAAAAAATGTATTTCCCTCCCTTTTCTGCAGAGGTGGGGAACTGTGGGTTTGTAGTATTGCATATATTGGCAGACATAGTCAATGTATTGGTTTTGGGTTTTTCCTCTTTATTTGTAAATCTCTGTTACAACAATTGTCTTGCTGAATAATGGAAGGGGAAGAGAAATCCTCGGAAGAAACAAGAGACAATAAATATAAGATGAAAATAAAGCAAACCAAATACAAGTTCAAAATAGTTTTCAGCCTCACAGCCCTTTAGAGAAAAAGAGAGGTGTTATGATCCAATAGTAATCATAATATACTTTAATATTTCATCCATGATCTTACTGACAAAGACTGTGAGCTCCTTCAGAGCAGG